TTTAGTATAGAACCTATCTCCTATCCCCCAAGTCTGTATTCTACCCATTAAACCTACTGATGGTGGTGTGGTGGTCTAGTTGCTAAGTCATGTACAATTCTTTGCAACCCCATGGGCTGTAGCCTGCCAGGCTCTTCTGTCCCTGGGATTTTCCAGGCAAAAATACTGGAGTGGGTTACCATTTCCTTCCCCAGGGGATCTTCCCAACCTAGGGATGGAACCCACATCTCCTGCATTGCAGGCAGACTCCTTACTACTGAGCCACCAGGGACGCCCTTAAACCTACTGAGTATCCCATTTATTACAGCTTCCTAACACTGAATAACCAAGTGATAGGTAATTTCTTTGCTTGTTGGTTGGGTACTGAGTTTCCAGGGAGGTTGCTCTATGACATTTGGAAGATGAAGACAGTCTTTATCTTTGAAGTAAAAAAAAAAAATAATGAGGGTTCAATTTTGGCCAGAACCCCAGCTTCCAGCTTTTCTTATTTTGCTTAAAATAAAGCTTACTATAAAATGGAAACAAAAAACCCAATATATTTTAAAAATTCATTTTACATTACTATGCAACAAGAATATTTTGGACTCTAGTAAGAGCACTAAATGGTCACCAGAAGTACTCTGATTTTGGTACTTATATAAGATGCCTGCTCTCCCTTGAAAAAACTTCTACGTCCCTCAACACCAATAATCATCATTTAACTAAGTTAAATCTCTTTTTTCTCTTTTATTTTCAGACTTGAAAAACAGGCATAGTGAAGCTAAAACAAATGTGGATAGTGAAAGCACATTATTCTTAAAGAGCTCTGAGACAAGAAGGCAAATGACTGTTTATATAGCATAGAACAGCCAAAGATCATTAAGGTAAGATTTAATAGCATCAAAATAGCATCAAAACTGAAAGAGAAGAGTGTCAAAGCAAACAAAATGCTACACCTAAAGAAAACATCTTAAAATATTAATAGAAGTTAAATTCACTATCTAGGGAATTAGATTCAAATTCTTCAAGAAAATAGAACCAAAATATGATTTCATACTTAATGAACATTTGAGGGGGCTTCCCTGATAGTTCAGCTGGTAAAGAATCTGCCTGCAATGTGGGAGACCTGGGTTCAATTCCTGGGTTGGAAAGATCCCCTGTAGAAGGGAAAGGCTACCCACTCCAGTAGTCTGACCTAGAGAATTCCATGGACTGTATAGTCCATGGAGTCACAGAGCCTGACATGACTGAGCAACTTTCACTCACATTTGAGGAATTCCAGGAACCAGTAGCAACCTCTCAAGATCTCAGAACAATCCAATGCTTGAAACATGCAGAACATCAATAACACAGCACCTCTTCCCCTCTAAAAACACACCACTATCACCAACTGATCTCAACCCTGAGTCACCCAGTGAAACTCTGCAACCTTTATTTAAAGGAAACCGCACATAAAAAGGCACAGTTCATTACAGCCCAAAGGATCCAATGCTAACAGAAGGAACAAGCACGCCAGAGCACTGCCAACTGTATTCAATCTACCCCTAGCCTGCCCTGTGGCAACATGTTGCTTTCCGGCTGCCTACGTTACAGACCTCTGAAGGTCTGATATTTGTTTTCTTACTAAAGATTTCTAGACTTCTGACTTCTGATTCTTCCACTTCCTTGATTTCTCTTTTCCTGCTTAGCTGCCTCTTAACTCAGCCTTCACTCGTATTTCTAGTCAATCACAGTTTGTGTGCTACTATCTATAGACAAGGGCTCTGGCCTTGTGCATGAAATTCAAATTTTGACTTGTATTTGGATCTTGGCTTTTGTCTCTGATGATGAACCGAAACTGAAAAAAATAAAATAGAATGAAACTATTCAACTTTTTATAAGCAGTTTTGATATACATTGATAAAATCTGTAATAGAAGACTAAAACAAACTGTCTGTGCCCTCTAAGAACTTCATTCCTTGAAACTAACTATATCCCTAATGAACATAATCAAGTTGGAAATACTATAAATGAATAGGGGTTGTCTTTGGGAACTATAGGTGAATAGCCGTTAACTATGGCCCTAGGACTCAAGTGAAAAACATCTTAATAATGGAATTTAAAAGTAAATGGGTAAACTATGTCTAAATAGAAAATCTGATAAACTAAAAAAAAATGTTTTAAGAATCTTGCAAATTTAAATTTGCAAAGGAAATGAACACATATAGAAATAAAATATGTTTCAAGCATAAGTATCTTGCTAAGCAACTGAATGCCAAACATTCCACTTTGAAAGAATAACTTGATCCATTTTCTCTAAGAACACTGTTAGTCATTTGCTATCCACCTAATATTATTTTTAACTCAGACTGTCTTTATTAAAAGGAAAACTGAAGGATTCTATTGAGTTGGCCAAATTCGTTTCAGTTATTCTCTATCATCATATAGGCTTCCCAGGTGGCACTAGTGGTAAAAGAACCCGCCTGCCAATGCAGGAAATATAAGAGACACAGATTCAATCCCTGGGTTGAGAAGATCCCCTGGAGGAGGACATGGAAACCCACTCTAGTACTCTTGCCTGGAGAATCCCATGGACAGAGGAGCAGTGCGCGCTACAGTCGATGGGGTTGCAAAGAGTCAGACATGACTGAAGTGACTTTAGCATGCATATATGTATCATCATACAGAAAAAGTCAAACTTTCTGACCAACCCAATATTTTGTACATTAACAGAAATCACACCTAAGACTTTATTAACTTAGATGATTGTAAAATTTCCAAATTCCAAACTAATAATTGAGAACACTGCTGAAAAGTTTCTTGTAGGGAACCTCCCTTCAGCCCTAAAATTCTAACTCCACCTCCAAATCAGAATCTCCTAAAAATATTCGTAATAGCATGGGAGTGGCCATGATAAATAAGCAAGTCTATAATGAGGTACAAAAATTACTCTCTCCCTTTGACAATGATTTTCCTTTCTGATTTCCTTTCCTTAACAAATTTGAGAATATCAACTTTAAATAGATGCAATCTTACAACAAAGGAAACTATAAGTAAGGTGAAAAGACAGCCCTCAGATCGGGAGAAAATAATAGCAAACGAAGCAACAGACAAAGGATTAATCTCAAAAATATACAAGCAACTCCTCCAGCTCAACTCCAGAAAAATAAATGACCCAATCAAAAAATGGGCCAAAGAACTGAACAGACATTTCTCCAAGGAAGACATACAGATGGCTAACAAACACATGAAAAGATGCTTAACATCACTCATTATCAGAGAAATGCAAATCAAAACCACAATGAGGTACCATTACACACCAGTCAGGATGGCTGCTATCCAAAAGTCTACAAGCAATAAATGCTGGAGAGGGTGTGGAGAAAAGGGAACCCTCTTACACTGTTGGTGGGAATGCAAATTAGTACAGCCACTATGGAAAACAGTGTGGAGATTTCTTAAAAAGCTGGAAATAGAACTGCCATGTGACCCAGCAATCCCACTTCTGGGCATACACACCGAGGAAACCAGATCTGAAAGAGACACATGCACCCCAATGTTCATTGCAGCACTGTTTATAATAGCCAGGACATGGAAGCAACCTAGATGCCCATCAGCAGACGAATGGATGAGGAAGCTGTGGTACATATACACCATGGAATATTACTCAGCCATTAAAAAGAATTCATTTGAATCAGTTCTAATGAGATGGATGAAACTGGAGCCCATTATACAGAGCGAAGTAAGCCAGAAAGATAAAGACCATTACAGTATACTAACACATATATATGGAATTTAGAAAGATGGTAACGATAACCCTATGTGCAAAACAGAAAAAGAGACTCCTATGTATAGAACAGACTTGTGGACTCTGGGAGAAGGCGAGGGTGGGATGTTTCAAGAGAACAGCATTGAAACACGTATATTATCTAGGGTGAAACAGTTCACCAGCCCATGTTGGGTGCATGAGACAAGTGCTCGGGCCTGGTGCACTGGGAAGACCCAGAGGGATTGGGTGGAGAGGGAGGTGGGAGGGGGGACCGGGATGGGGAATACATGTAAAAAAAAAAAAAAAGATACACTATGGTTGTGGGAAAAAAAAAATTAAAAAAAAAATAATATATAGATGCAATCTTCAGTAATATGATACTGCAACTATATAACAAATAAATTTTAAGCTATGACTGACAATTATAATCAAGAACAATTATAATCCTTAGTAGGAGACCTTTCCATTCTATTATAACTTTCAATAAGCCAGTATTTTCTAATAAATATTATTTTAAACACAAAGTAATAACCAGCTGAAATCTACAGCTGCATTAAAAAATGAAACAAACTAGTACAAGGGGAAGACACTAACCCAGAACAGTATAAAACAGCAGAAGGAAAATACCAGAGTGATGTTACATCTCTTTCTTCACAATGCCAAATATTTAGTTAGCATATGGCCCAAAGTGTGTTTTAATTATCACTCAAATGCTTCAGAGAAACTTTTTTAAAAGCATGAAAATAAAGAGAATGGTAATAAACATCTATTAATGATGCTTCTTGTTTTTCAAGAGTAATAATGACAGATTTCCAGATTGGTGAGCATAAGGTGTGTCTACATATGACCCATCTGAAATGCTTCTGATTTTAGCCTAAGCCTGCCCTCGAAAAAAGATTATCATGTAGACTTCACCAAGGATGTAGAAACACTCTTATAAACTGGTTTAAGTAATAAATAATGCAACTTATATAGAAATTATTTCACATGAGGATTAATCACTACAAAAACAGTAAATTGATAAAACAAGATAATGAACTCTCAGTAAATCAAAACCAAATGTCCTCCCCCCCTTAGTAAGTAATAATTAAAAAGCTAAATACAGGAAGATCAAACAGAAGTATCAACAAAATTTAGCATGAGTTCACAAAACTGAAGTAAAATTTATGTTAAATACTCACCATTGAGTTCAAACAAAATAAATTTATAAATACCCTATAATAATACTTTCTAATTTCATATTCTTCTATATTGTTTAAAGTACTTATAAACTTACCCAAATGAAGTAATGTAAACTGGGCTGCCAGTTCCTTTGCATCTTCTAATGTAGTACAGAGTTTGTCTGGCATAAAGTAACTCTGGGATCCATTTGCAATAGCAGGAATAACAATTTTATATACCAAGAGTACTTTCCCATCTTGACTTGTTGTTGAATATAAATAATATTCTGGTGGTGCCCAATTATTTTTGTTGCAGTAATAATCCAAATGCATTACTGCAGAATTGAAATGATTGGATTTTAAAGAATACATACTAATTGGAGTAAGCTTTGTTCCAGGAAAAAAAGGGTAAGTGCATCTTTCAATTTCAGGGGGGCTTGGGCTATGCTGGCCATTAAGACGAGCTGGAAGAGTTGGCGGTTTGCCTAGAATTTTGGGGTGACTCTCTTCTTTGTTAGCAAACACAATCAGGTTTTCAGAATTGGGGCTAATCTGACCATTAAGATTCTGTCTCCAAGTGTTTTCTTTATTCACAGGTTTTGCCAGTGTTACCTCAATACTTGCTCCATCAATGCATTTTCCATTCATTACTGACATGGCAGCCACTGCATCTTCTCGGTTGAAAAAGTGAACAAAAGCATAATCTCTAAGTTTCTTTACTCGCTCAACTGTACCAGGTTTGAATTTATTGAATTCTGCTTTAATTGTTTCCTCAGTAGTTGAGATCATTAAATTTCGTACATAGAGAACTTTAACTCTCTGCATGGTTTCCTCATCAACCTCTTTCTCTGGGTCAGCCCAATCTACCTGAATGGTATGGCCCCACAGTTGGAAGGTTCCTGTAAAAAAATAAATTAATTTGAAGACAATTAAAATAAATCAAAGTCAAAAATAAGTAAAATTGTTTCTCCAAAGAAGAAACTCAAATACATATAATATATTTGGTAAAGTATTAGATTCCTATTCACACAAGTTTTTACTAAGGTGAACCCAGACAGGACTTAACAGTGAAATTAATTTTGAGAGTCAAAAGAACAAGTACACTTCAAAACAGACCTTTATTAGAAGGATTAGGTACTGTCCTTTTTATTTTTATCAAACAACAACTAACAGCTAAACAAAACTGTATACATTCAGTAAATCAGTAAACTTATAAATAATGACTCATTTTATAGGATCATATTCTTTTAGAATCATTTGTTTTACTTTCTTAATTTCTATTCCTCTTCAAGGGCACTACATATTTTCATAAATTGATCTATGAGGTACCGCTATTTTTTCAAATGTATAGTAAGGTTAACAGAGAAAAATAACCTTTGAAAAAGGATAAATTTACCTGGAATTAGTTTTCTCCTAGCCATAGCAGCAGCTCTGTGAGATTCATATTCCACAAATGCAAAACCACGATTTTTGGTCTTATCAGTTGCACTTGGGTAAACAATGACATCTACAACTCCTTCTGTAACTTTCTTCATTTCATCCAAGATTTCCTCTTTCTTCTTTTCTTTCGGAATAGCTCCAATAAATAATCTGCAATTATCCAAGCTTACACACACACCAATAAATTTCCCTGGTCGAATTTCATAATTATTAAGAATTCTAATGGCTAACTGGGCTTCTTCTTTTGTAGTATACATCACAAAAGCATAACCTCGATTTTCACCACTAAATTCCATCATAAGTCGAAATTCATATATTTTCCCAGCTCTTTCAAATACAGGAACTAACTCATCTTCATACATATCACGAGGTATTTTTCCTACAAAAACTTCACAGCCTCGAGGTGGGGGTGGACCTTCCCAACCTGAAAAACAAAAATAAATAGACAAATTCTAATAAGGTATTTATGTTTCCTATTCAGTAATTCATTCCACAGATTTACTGTGAGCCTTCTATATGCCATGCACTATTATACATATTAGGGATACAACAATGAACAAACTAGAAGCCTCCTTCCCTCATGAAGCTTATATTCAACAGAAAAAGAAGACAATGAATAGTGATTGCTATGAAGAAAAATAAAGCCACAGAAAGGTTGATATTTTTGGTAATCAGGTACATCTTTTCTAAGCACATGAGGTTTAAGCAGAGACCTGACTGAAATGAAGGACTCAGCCTTGAGAATATATCAGAAAAAAGAAAAAGCAAGTGCTTTTTGTATTAGTCACATTAGAACAACACACAGCAAGCAGGTCTGTACGGGAAACGCATACTTGGGGGAGGAGTACAACGACAGGCAAAGCAGCCGTCACTGCAGTGAGAGGCCACGACTCTCCTTTAGGTCTCACAGAAAGTTAACTGGAGGGTTTTGAGCAGGGAAACCCTACTGGCTACTGGTAGAAAGGCGAAACATATCTAATAATCTGCTTGCATCTAGTATAAACATCACTCCTTTACTTGCTTCTCTTTCTGATTCCTCCCCAAATGTCCTCCCCTTTCACAGCTAGAGTCCACTTTCCCCACTGACCTAATCCTGACTTGTTTCTTAACTGCTACTTAAACCAACAGTAGAATGTTTAGGGAAAGACACGCATAACAAATGTAATCTACCTCTTTCCTTTCACAGCGGTAAACATGACTGCTGAGGTCTTAAAGCGGCTTTAAGGAAAGAGTTATTTGTTTGGGATACTTGTGGAGATATATATCTAATGGAAATGACAGCATTAAACATGCAATTTTTTGAACATAAAGAAATCCACACCTGGAGGTGGGCCACCAAACTTCCTTTGCCCATTTTCTTGAACCATGTTGTATCCAGTCTTTTCCATCAAAGCAAGTAATGCTGCTTCATTCTGAGTACCAGTCCGTACTTTGTTGCATCCATTTGCTCCATCTATAGTTTCTTCATTCATCGCTGCAGTTCCTAAAGCAAAACTGAAGAGAAGTGTTTAGGACATGGAGCTCCAGGAGGAACCTATGAAGAATTTCACCAAGTGCAAAAACCAAGAATAGTTGTGCCGCTCTATTCAGGGATCACTGAAGCCTCGGCCCCCCAAGAATAGTTGTGCCGCTCTATTCAGGGATCACTGGAGCCTCGGCCCCCCAAGAATAGTTGTGCCGCTCTATTCAGGGATCACTGGAGCCTCGGCCCCCCAAGAATAGTTGTGCCGCTCTATTCAGGGATCACTGGAGCCTCGGCCCCCCAAGAATAGTTGTGCCGCTCTATTCAGGGATCACTGGAGCCTCGGCCCCCCAAGAATAGTTGTGCCGCTCTATTCAGGGATCACTGGAGCCTCGGCCCCCCAAGAATAGTTGTGCCGCTCTATTCAGGGATCACTGGAGCCTCGGCCCCCCAAGAATAGTTGTGCCGCTCTATTCAGGGATCACTGGAGCCTCGGCCCCCCAAGAATAGTTGTGCCGCTCTATTCAGGGATCACTGGAGCCTCGGCCCCCCAAGAATAGTTGTGCCGCTCTATTCAGGGATCACTGAAGCCTCGGCCCCGAAGTTCTGTCTTTAATCAGTTAAGCAGCACCTTTATAAGGCATAAGCTACAAAGAAAGGGAAGAAAAAGTGAAAAAGACAAAGGAACAACAAAAACAAAAGTGGGAAAACAGGAGTAAGTGAAAGGGAGTTAGAGGAGAAAACAGCCAGCGGAAGTAGTAACAAAGTATTCAGAAATGCTAAAATGATATAGCTAATATTAGGTGACCTGAGAAAGTCCTTCTGAGTTCTAAAATATCTGAGTTTTCTTCTGAGTGATGAGAAATATAGCTACAAACATCCATTATCATATACGCCACACCCACAAAATCTTTTTACAGTTCCTCCCAAGCTATCCAGCGACATCAATGATACATTTCTGAAGACAACATAGCAGGAAAGTAGCTCATGCACCCACACACCTAAATGCAGCAGTCTAAGGCTCTTTATTAAGCTACCAGTCATTACCAAATTGCCTACTGAGTTTGTCTAGCAAACACTAAGAAGGAGATTTTTAACTGGCATCTTGAATTCAACAGATTTAAAACTGAATGTCATTTTATCCTCCAAACCTGTTCCTTCCTATTTTACCTTAACTCCATCAATTCATCTGGCCAACCGACAATGGCACCACAAGGATTATTTATTACTCCTTCTCCAAACCGTCACAATCAGAAACTCCGGGACTTAATCTTGAGGCCTTCCTCTGACTCACAGCTAATCAACCACAAAAACCTGTATATTTTCCCTTCCAAGTATTTCTTGAAATCAACCTTTTCCTGTATATCGCCACAGCCTATTCTCAATTATATCTTACTTGAATCAGCATAGTCATTTTTCATCACTCAGGATCTACTGGGGATGGTTCTAGAACTCCCAAGGACACCAAAACCACTTACACTCAAACCTCACATAAAATAGCATAGTCATTTGCCTATAACTTATGCACATCTTCCCATATAATTAAACCATCTCTATAGATTACTTATAATAAAATATAAACACAATGTAAAGAGTTGGAAATACAATGCAAATGCTATATATGCCAGTATGGGTGGCAGATTTAAGTCTAAGGAACTTTCTGGAACTATTTTTCAAATATTTTTAATCAAAGGTTGGTTGAATTTGCAGTTGTGGAACCATGGATTGAGAGAAATGACTATGCTAGGTTCCTAACCACTGTTCCAGAGATTTTTGTCCCTTTCAGACAAAATCTCAGTGTGGTCAAGATGATATAAAAATATGTACCTGACTACTTTAAGCTTCTACAAATCAAAATTAAGGGGGAAATGAGTGAAGTTACTTTAGCTTAGAATCAAGAAGGCTCTTCTAAGAAATAAAAGACCCTCAAAGAAAAATAGTACTAAATTACTTTTACTACCCTGGTGCTTCCAACAGTAAAGAATCCGCCTGCAATGTGGGAGACCTGGGTTTGAACCCTGGGTTGGGAAGATCTCCTGGAGAAGGGAAAGGCTACCCATCCAGTACTCTGGCCTGGAGAGTCCATGGGGTCGCATGACTAAGCAACTTTCACTTCATTTTTACTAAATAAGTATTAACTATTTTGAAGGCAGAAAATTACAAACAGGGGGAAATGATCTGCAACACAACATAATAAAAACCTGATTTTCTTAAAACAGAAAGAGCAGCATGGTATCATAATTAAGAGCAAACTCAGGTACCTAAATGATGGCTTAAATGTGAAGTCTGGTTCCTCCCCTTATTAGCTATGACTTTGGACAAGTTTGACCTCAGTTTGTCTCTAAAAGTAGAAAATAACACTTTCTATTTCATAAGGTTGCTGTCAGGATTAAGCATAAAAGGCTTAAAATAGTATTTTGCATATAAGCACTATAAATCTACTACCTAATTAATACAATAATATATATAAGATGGTAACGATAACCCTATGTGCAAAACAGAAAAAGAGACTCCTATGTATAGAACAGACTTGTGGACTCTGGGAGAAGGCGAGGGTGGGATGTTTCAAGAGAACAGCATTGAAACACGTATACTATCTAGGGTGAAACAGTTCACCAGCCCAGGTTGGGTGCATGAGACAAGTGCTCGGGCCTGGTGCACGGGGAAGACCCAGAGGGATCAGGTGGAGAGGGAGGTGGGAGGGGGGACCGGGATGGGGAATACATGTAAAAAAAAAATGATACACTATGGTTGTGATAAAAAAAATAAATAAATTAATTAATTAATTAAAATAATAATATATATACTTAACGTTAACTTTTAGGAAAATAATACTATTAAATAATAAATTAATAAAACAACAAAAAAACAAACTAACAAAAAAAAAAAACCACTGCTGACCAGGGCCTGCAAACATGAATTCACTCATTCATTTATTCAATGAATGTTTATTAAGGACAAACTGCTGGCCAGACACTGTTCGCTGAGTCTGGGATACATCAGCAAGGTAAGAACCGAACCTGCTCCCTTGCACAGCTTATACTCCAAGAAGAGAAACAAATGGTAACACAAGTAATATGTAATAATATATGTTAGAAGATAACAGGAGGAGGAAAATGAATGGGTACAGGGTACATAGATGGGGAAGAGGTGTGCAGAAGACAGTGTACAATTTTAATCAGATAACTAGTATTCAGAGTTTTCTGAGAAGAAAACATTTGCGCAAAGAACTGAGGAACCTGGCCGTGCTGGGAAGAACACCACAGAAGGAAAGATGAGGACAGAAGCCCAAGAAGAGAAGTGTGCATGGCACATATGAGGTCAGCAGGGGACCAGTATGGTAAAGCCAAGAAGAGAACAGCAGGACATGAAGTCAGCAAGGTAACGATCTGCCACAGCACATCAATCTCCTAAGTTAGGTGCTAAAGGTCCTCAGCGGTGGAGCCACTGGAGATTCTGAGCACAAGAGTAATACGATCCTTCATTTTAAAAGGACTATCTTCCTATTATATTGTGAATTCTGTAGAAGGGCAAAGGTGGAAGCAACGAGACCAACAAACACCAAGACTAAAATTCAGGTGAGAGATGATGGTGCCATGGACCAGAAAGGCAGAGGTGGAGGGGAGTCTCCGATGTGAGATATAATCTGAAAGTACATCCAATAGTTTTCTGACAGATCAGATATGAATGAGATAAACAGAGATGTCAAGGATAACACCAAAGTTTTGACCTGAGCAACAAGAAGCAAGGAAGTAAGGAAGGCTGAGATGGAACTCAGAACTTATACTTAGGGGTAAGAGCACAGTTCAGTTCTGGGCCTGTTAAGTTTGAATATCCACTAAATGACCAACTTAAATGCCTATAAGGCCATGGCAAGGAATGTTATATGAGTGAAACAAAAGGTAAAACCACATGATTCTGGCAAGTGCCGTGGACTGTGTTTAACAAGAAAGATACTGGAAAAAGGCAGTGGATACTCAATTCTAGCAAACTGTTACTGTGAGGAAATCCCCAGTTTGCCCAGTTACACTAAATTTTCCAAGGTTTCAGGAGAAACCAGAAGTATGCAGATTCATATGTAAAATCTCTCAATTCTTAAAATTTGAGTCAAGGAGCTGCATTAATATATTAAAACTATAAAAACTACGTAAATGTCATCCATTTACATGTACAAATACGGCATAAGAATGGCATGATGAAAATATAATCTGGTAGAATATTATGTTCAAACTTAATATAGGGTATATGTTATCCAGATTCCAACTCAAAAAATTAATGAGTCAAACTGCCACAACTCAGCTCAAGTTTCTACACATTTACTGGATGTTTTCTATGACTAGGTCATTTTTCTGGAGTTTTAGTCATGTGGATGACCCTGAGGGGCAGGACCACCACTCAGGTGGACAGCAGAAGACAGAGTAACTCAGTGTGACTTTCTGCCAAGCAGAGAGAACTGCACAGTGAGAAAGGGCTGACCAGAAGATGTCTTCCTGCCTAACTGAAGTATTCAAACACAGGCTGGACATGCTGGAGATTCGACCAAAGCGGGCACTGCGGGACCAGGTGGCTTTTCATAGTCCTTCCAAAATTTAATACAAAGGGAGTCCAAGCACAGACTCTGCCTTTTTAAAAGGACCTACAATCCAGAATAATAATAGCATCATCATGCAGTCAGCTTCCTTCTATGTTTTAAGTCTGCATTTTGGAGATCATTATCTCTACAAGAGGTTCACGGTTCCTTGAAAACAAAATGCTGCAGGGTCAAAAAAATAAAAAAGAAAAGAAAACCCTGGAAATTAATTCAATTATAAAAATAATAACAAAAACTGTAGAAACCAAACAAAATACCTGCAGACAATCTGTGGCTTAAACTCTGAGATGCATAAAAGCAGACATTCCTGTCTGCCTTGGACACTTTCCCTATTATCCAACACAGTGCTTGGTACACAGTAGGTACTCAGTAATTATTTGCTGGATGAAGATGCTAACAGAAAATTTAAAAAAAAAAAA